GCACGTCACGGCGGGGTTCCCGGCTCCGGAACGCGTCGCGGCGGCTGGGCTGGCGCGTGCGGCGGCTCACGGTGGGGCTGGTCGGGGGTCCTCAGGCTCAGGCTCGTGGATAGTCGACTTTGTGTAAATGATCATCGGGTCTCGATTACCTTTGGATCTTCTACTGTATTACTCTTACACCTCTTCAACTTGTATCGGTGGAGCAACAAGAAAAAGATAAAGCTCGAATGAGATCTAGAGAGAGAGAGAGAGAGAGAGGAGGGCGCGCGGCGTGTCACGTGAATTATGAGGGATTCACTCTCTTTTTATGAGCTTAATGATGTATATATAGAGCTACAGTAGGGACCCTTAGGAGATTAGTAATAGGGCTCCTTAATTAATTAAAATAACTGTGGGTCAAACCCACTATTCTAATTAATTAAATAATATTAGGGGTCACTAACATAATATTATTGCACTCCACTTTCTTAACCCAATTTAGAATTGAGACTCCAATAATAATTACTCAAATTATCTCCCCATGTTTAAGGTATAATATTCATTAATTAATTAGATTACTGATAATCAAGAATTAATTAATTTATTATTATTTTACGAAGGTAGCGCTCGTTCATCACATTATTACTATGTCAGAATTTAATCCACCTATAGGGTTTAGCATAACAATCCTTCATGAACTCACTCTGGGGACATCATCAAACTAAGCGTACATGGTGAACGTAAATATCCTAACAACACATCTTACATGCAGTAATATTACCCAATACAATAAGCTGTTGATCCAGTTTACCAAACCTCAGTATATATATGTCTATTTAATATCTCACGTGTTAAGAGAACACAGTAATTAACTGAGGCCTAGTTCGTTTATGACGATCAGTATAAATCGAATTGCTCCTCTATGGGATCTTGTTCAATACATAAATGTTCTAGTGCAACTAATCAGTCAAGAAATATTGTATCATTGACACTACAACCGTTAGGATGCGGTGTTCATGTCCATCTAGGTTGTGAACCATAATTCTTGTTTCGCAAGTAACGGATAGAATGATCTTCGGTTCGCCCGATGACAACCCACACTATCTAATTGCAAAACAACAGAACGTAGAACTTGTTTAATCTAACATGTTTCTCATTCATAAAGAGTGAAAGTGTAATATCATTCAAAGTCAAGCTTTCAGTATATAACACTAACACCATATCCTTTGTTGAATTCTTATCGGTTAAAGGAGAGGTCTTAGTATCCACTTGAGTGCGGACCTAGGAGGTTTTAGCTTGAAGAGAGGAAGCTAATGAGTGAATATTTGGAGTTGAGTGTTTTTTATGCAGCACTCGTTGATGTCCATCTATTGTTGATTAGTGGAATTATATTTGGAAGAACCATTTTAAGTTGCAGATGGGGTTTGTTGATTGTGGGGGGCTTCTAGATTCTGAGTCGCTAACTTCAATCCAGTTATGGTGTTCTGAAGCTCGTAGCCATTCACCATATTGGCCTCTTTCAGGGAATGAGATCGAATATCATCAATCTTTGTAGCCAACTCCTGTCTAGATGTCTGATTCTGCCACAATAATGGCAAAGATTCACCAGCTTTTCATATCGAAAACAAACCTGAACTACTTGATCACCTAATCGAATATTAGCACAATATAAAGAGGTTCCTGCAGATTTAAAAGAGACTAATAAGCGAAGCATCCAGAACTAACAATAACAACATTCTTAACCTCACTGAATAGCCGCCCAATCTTTAGTCCAACCTTAGTGCTAAGCCAATTCAAGGGAATATTCAATACCTAGACCCAGATGTTTAGTTCATGAGAACATTCATGGTGTCTGGATAGACCATCCTTCCATTCTGACAATATGACCAATTGGTTCAAAACTCTAGTTTGTGCCACCAAGAACCTTCTTGATATCGTCGCGGTTTTGGAATATAAATTGAAAACAGTTGGGCCTGGCTCTTTAACTTCCACAATTGGGTTAGTCGCCTGCTTTGATTTATATCCTTTTTGACACCAATCCAACTCACTTTTCTGTCACCTATGATTCTGCCAAAGAGGCTCCGATTGCATTCATCAGCACTTAGACGAATATCCTCTTGTGCTATATCGACGAAACGAAGATTCTCTGTCTGAGAGTGAGAAGGTATTCAATTTTTGAACCAAGTCTTCATCTTGGATAGAATCGGTGCGTCCTTCGATGGGTGGATACTCGATCGAGAAAGTGGAACCCTAATTTCAAATTTGGGGATACCAAACAGGAGAAACAAAGGAGAGACAAGAGATCGAGGGATAAACTTAAGAGAAGAGAATATAAAATCATATTATTATTTTATTTTTATTATTTTTATTCATATTATGATTTAATTGCTGGAATTAAATATTTGAGCACATTAATAATTTTGTTAAAAAATAATAACGTTATTTAATATCAAATTTATTTTATTATACTAATAATCTATAGATTATGTATCACATAGTTTTGTTAAAAGGTATCTTTCATAAAAGTAAAGTTTAACAAATAATTGTTTTATAAAAAAAAATATATATCGAAAGAAATCAAATTTTAAAAAGCAACAAAAACTTAACTACTCTATAATAGAACAATGAGTAACATTTAAAAACTTTAAATGCGAAGACCTATTAGCAAATAGATGAATGTTGATTGGTTAAGATATATTTTATATATCAAATACTTGTAATAGTAAAGATATAATTACAATGATTAGTATAAGAGATAAAAGTATAATTTATATATAGTAAAATTATAAGTATGAATAATAACCAATAAAATTCAGTTAACTAAAAGTAATTGAACGTAATTGTCAAATAAAATATAAAATATGTTAGCATTGAATAGGGATATTTTTCCTTAACTCCAAAATTTCACATTTGATACATGTTTTTATAAGGACAAATTATATAACATATACATGTATACTTTTACGGATTTAATTTCAACATACATAAATAGCTTACGTTCTACAAAATATTATTTCAAATACACAAATTATTTTTCAATTGTCAATATCATAACTAATTCTTTTGATTTTATGTTAATCACTCATAAAATAATTGCATGATTACGTCATAAACTGAACATTGAGATCTCTGGGAAATATAATATAAACAAAATATAAAATAGCATTTAATGATTATTTTTTTACATGTTTAGTGATTTACAATATTTATATTTGTTAATTCTTATATAATTTTTTTTTTAAATTTCAAAATTTCATGATTCTCAATAATAGGTTTTGATGTATTTACTTTTGGCAAGAGTTCTAAAATAATATTTTGATGATTTTCTGGCAAGAGTGAGAATTAAAAGGTAATATCCATTGGCCCTCTTCTATTTATTTATGTATATATACTTTATTATTTCGTTATTGTTCCCGATATTGGCTAGTGGTGATAGGTAGGTTCGGAGCGGTGTCGGATTGGCTAGTGGTGTTAGCCGATGGGAGTTGATTGTGGTGATTTGCGGTTGAGGTGCGGGTCAGTTCTTTAGGATTGTTTCTGATGTTTGGATCATCGTCTTGCTAGGCCTTATGCAGTGGCGGGAGAGTATCTGAGCTTTGGAGCTCTCATTATTTGCCTTGTCTGCTGTCTTTCGATTGTTTCTGCTGAGGGAGGCCGTGTTTTAGTTAGTAGTTTTCCTTTGTGTTTAGCTTGTTTATTCTCGTTTGTGTTGTCTGTGTTTTAGGTTTGGGCCATTGTCAACTTATTATCCTGTTGGAGCCCGACATTTGGGTATTACCCTGTTGGGGTCTTCGTGTTTTTATTTTTTGTGTTTTTAGAGTTCCCGAGTATTACCCTGTTGGGATCGGGCTATAAGCGGTCTTCTGACATGTCCTCTCACTTTTTTCAGTTGTTGGCTGCGCTATGCACATTTGTGCTTTTATATAATATCTCTATCGTTCCCAAAAAAAAATATTATTAGTGTCTATTAGATTGCATATATACTATTTATTTCTTTCTATAATATATGTTTATTTTGTAGGAATGACTGTGCATCAATGGAAGGAAGAAGTTCATCATGATAAATGGATTGTGTGTTTCCTTATTGAAGATTATGTACAAGTCGTATGGAACTTCGCAAGGATGGGAAATCAACTTCAAAAGAAGGAAGGTACTTGGGAAGAATCCTTACCTTTAGGAGGGTCTATAAACGAATACTTAATTGAATGTTGCTGCAATTATCGAAATTATCACATTCGTGTACTTTATTGAGTGTTTGTGAGTGTTTGTTTTTGTTTTTGTTCTGTTCAATGATCAGTGTCCTTACATCATTGAAGAACTGAGTTTGTTATTTCTTTTACAAACACTTTGAGTGCTAATTTGGATTAAGTATTTATTAGCTATGAGGGATCCACAGCTATTTCAAATTTGGCGTGTTGTGGCCGGAGAAGCTGTTAATAGAGTCGAATACAGTGTTGCTAGACTACGAGGGAGTCTGAGTCGTGTAAGTTCAAATTGTAGCTTATGCGCGCAAACCAGTCTATTAATGAAAGAGCTATGCAGATAATAAAGCGCTCACGAAGAACGAGATTGTTAAGTTTATTTGCTTTGGCTTTTAATTTCAGTGTTGGAACATCCATTTTGCATAATAAACCAAGGAATATATGAGAACATAATCAGCATGAGACTTATTAGAATCTCTTGATTCCGATTGCCGTATTAGTTGCATATTCATAAATGGAAACCAAAAAAGAAAAAGCCACAAGAGTGACACAGCAATGGCGTCGACTATCAAGAACTGACACACTATTGAAATCAGTGTGTAAACGCAATTCACAGCCACCTCCATTTCACAACTTGCTTTCGTTTTACAGGTCACACAGTCACACTCCACACCAACTTCACATCGAAGCAAAGATCCAGCAATTTCTTCCACCCAATAAAGAAATAGTGAAATACAATTGGTAAGCTAATCAAAGGGAGACCGACACTGCCACTCTTTTTTTCTTTTCTTTCTTCAAGTGGGCGACCTTCAAATTTCGATGCTAATTAGATTAGCAGACAACTGTAGTTTTCTGTGCTTCGGCTTGCTTCTTTGCTTGATTGAAGCCGGTTTAGCGGCCGACCCTTTCGTTTTCTATGATTGGACCGTCTCTTACGTCACGGCCTCCCCTCTTGGGGTTAGACAACAGGTGGGTTTTGCTTCCTTTTCATTCTACATTTTGGGTTTCTAAGTTATTTACATTTTGTGCGATGTTTTCGGACTAGTGTAGTTTTGTTCTACATTAGTAAATCAAATTGGGAATGGCGATGTTGCTGGACTCGTACTGGGTAGATTTGGTTGATTTCTAGAAGGTTTCAAGCATGTTTTTTTTTCCTGATTTGAGCTGGTTTACATGTTCTGGTGATACCCTTTTTCTAGACATGATTGTGGTTGGTCTTTATGGGATTTTTCATCCTAGCTTTTGTCCGAACATTAATGAAATAAAAGGACAGATTCGAAGTATTTCCAATGGTATGCTACTTTTTGTTGAATTTATATTTGGTGTTGTTGATGATTGATGATGTTTCCAGACTATCAAGGTTGAAGGCTTCTAATCTTATGAGTTTGGATGTAACTTATCAGTCGTGTTTTTTATCCAACCCAATGACTTTGCTACTCTCTATTTGAAGTCAATGTAGATGTTAGAAATGTTTGAACATTCTTGCTTATAGTCACCATATGAAGCTTTAGAGCAATTATAGAGACGACGTTGTTTTTTGTTGCGGCTCAAAAACATTTTCAATGAATTATCATCCAAAGTATGGCATGAATGTTGTACTCATGACCAATATTTATCTCTGTGATTGAAATTCCAATCAGAGCAAGCATAAACAATCATGTGCAAAAGTGCCTTGCATATGCTGCATTTTCTTTATAAGGATCCACCTGGTACATTGGATCTGTTTCTTGCACACAAGCTCGAATTTTCATTTACATACCACCTGTGTGCTTTCGTCCTTACCTAAGAGGCTTGTTACTTTTGTGGATTTTCTTGCTAGAAATGCCTAAGATATATAGACTACGGTCTCTCATGCGATCTATGTATAAGAAAAAGGTTCCAAACGATAGGTCTCTAGTACCTCATAGGAAGAGGTCCATCCGACTGGTCAGCTGAAGCATAAAAAAAGTTCAAAGGGTTTCGAGTAGTTATTGTTGGTGAGGTTATTTTAGTACGCTGGAATTGTGCGTTGACCTTGTCGACGTGGGTAGCAGCTATTCATCCAAAATTTTTAGTTCGATAAGAATTGTGTGATGTCACTTTTTGAACATCTGAACTTGTATACTTATTTTTCTTTATACTGAAGAGATTGACTTGGCATTACTGTAATGGGAAAAATGTAAATGTGGTCAAGTCTTCCACAAATGTTTCAACTCTATGTATGATCCCATACTGATTGCTTTACGTTATTTTATATTTTAACTAGCATTTGTTATATTTTTTATTCTTCTACACCATTCACATCCCCAAGAGGAGATACTAAACCTCATTCAATATTTCCCCTTAAGTTTTAATTTTTTTTTATTTTGTTTTTTTAATTGTGAATGGAGAATGGAGATCTTTTTACTCTGACTATGGTATATTTTCGCTGCATTCTTGCTTTATAGTTCATAGATAGTAATTCCTTTCCTACCTGATTTTTATTTATTTATTTTTATTTTTTATTTTTTATTTTTTTTTATGGAGTTCAATACATATACCTCTTAGCTGAGTCCATAAACTCTGTTCCTTTAGGTGATTGGCATAGAGGGATTATTTCCAGGGCCAATTCTGAACGTTACCACAAATTGGAACCTCGTCATCAATGTCAAGAATAACCTTGATGAGCCATTCCTCCTGACATGGTATTTCTGCTTAATCCCAACCAATGCATTAATGCATTATAATGATAAGAGAGTAACTAGTCTTGTAGAAATGTAGGAATGGCATTCAACAAAGAAAAAACTCGTGGCAAGACGGTGTTTCAGGGACAAACTGTCCCATTCCTGCTGGTTGGAACTGGACATACCATTTTCAGGTCAAGGATCAGATTGGCAGTTTCTTTTACTTCCCTTCACTCAGCTTCCAGCGAGCAGCAGGTGGGTATGGAGGTATCATCATTAACAATCGAGAAGTTATTCCTGTACCTTTCGGGACACCAGATGGGGATATTACCCTCTTTATCAGCGACTGGTATATAAAGAGTCATAAGGTCAGTTAAAGGAATCTGCATGCTTCCGTGTTTTTTCTTTTCTTTTCTTTTTTTCTTTTAGTTATTTCTCAATTGTTGTAGTTATTTCTTGAATTTATTTTACATAATTTAATTACTGACTATAGCTTATGGAAAAACAGGAGATGAGAAAGGACCTTGAAAGTGGGAATGACCTTGGAGTCCCTGATGGAGTCCTATTTAATGGGTTGGGCCCATACCAATATGATAGATCCCTTGTGCGGGATGGTATTCCTTACCTAATAATAAATGTCGAACCAGGTATATGTCGAGTGACTTCATGTTGTTAGCATTTGGCACCTAGATTCACTAAGTGAATCTATCTATGTTTGACTTGTTTCCCTTCTTATTGAAGAGTTACTGAATTTGATTTTGAACTAAAGTTCAAATATGCAACAAATTTTGTTCTTCAGTTTTCTGCTGTACAACGTTTAGAGATGAATATGAAATAGAGTTCTCATCATAACTGGTCAACCTGTCTAGAGTTAGTTCAACCAGCATTTCATTCAACGTGTCAAGAATAAAAATATATCCATGTGTCAATAATTCGAAAATATGGAAATGTTCCTGATTATTAAAAGAAGTTCAAAAACAATAGATTCGGGAGCTCACATTTTACTGGTTGGAGTTGAAAGATGAGGTGGGAATATTTTGATGGTGAAGAGATGTTGATTAGGAAAACAAGAGTGAAGTTAAATTAGGGAACAAAAGTGCGATGACAAGAAGAAGTTGAATTTGGGAACTTTGTATTCGTTTGACCATCATTTTAAGAAGTATTTCGATGATTCATCTCGTAAGGAAGTTATGGTCTTAATATCAGTTAAACCAATTTCTTGTTCTTAGACGAATCATTTATTTCAGCTCAACTAGGAAAGGAATGTTGTTTAGATATCATTGTTTTAATGCTTACATTTCTTTTTATCTTCTATTTAATCATTGCTCACCACGTAAATACGTGAGTTGTTTTTTCTTGTTTCATCCAATGTTGATTCAACTCCATTCTATTTTACAAGCATTTCACGCATTTTTCCCACAACTTATTCCCTAGATTATGACAGCCCTATATTTCCTTTCCATAGTGTCTGACTACTCTTCTTTAAAAGGTTGTTTGACACCTGAGGCATGTACTGGGCGCTATTATCCATAGTTAACCTGCAAATGTGCTAATAAACTTGTAAAATAGAAACCTCTGAGTTTGTGTTTCTTTTTGGTGTTTTATGCTCTTGGTACACTGCATAAAATGTGATTTATCAACTCACTTGAATTTCATGTGAAACAGGGAAAACATATCGCCTACGGGTACACAACGTCGGAATTTCTACTAGCTTGAATTTTAGGATCCAAAACCATAACCTAGTCCTTGTAGAAACTGAAGGGTCTTATACAGTGCAACAAAACTACTCAAACATGGATATTCATGTGGGTCAGTCGTACTCATTCCTGGTGACGATGGATCAAAATGCTAGTAATGATTATTACATAGTTGCCAGTCCTCGGTTTGCCAACAATCCAACTTGGACCAAGGCTCCAGGAGTTGCTATACTGCACTACTCGAATTCGCAGGGCCTTGCTTCAGGTCCCCTTCCAGACCCTCCCATTGAAAATGACCCGTATTTCTCAATGAATCAAGCAAGATCCATAAGGTTGTGCTAAATGCATTTCTTTTAGTGAACGTTTTTTATTTTGTTATTTCAATTTTTGAGACATAAAAACTTTTTCGAAATTGCAACCTCCTCGTTTGCGAAGATTTTGTTTGTTTGCGTGTTACTGTACAAATTTGCGGTAGTCAAAAGGAAATTGATGAAGAATATACATTATAGTTGTTGAGTATTATATTGATGTATTAATTTATTTGAGTTGTGACTTGACATTCAATGTTGTTGTAAAAAGATGGAACGTGACTGCTGGAGCTGCTCGGCCCAACCCACAAGGATCTTTCAGATATGGAGACATAACTGTGACCGATGTATATATAGTCATCAACAGGCCTCCGGAGCTTGTTGATGGCAAACGGCGTACTACCCTTAATGGAATTTCGTATTTATCCCCTTCAACACCCTTGAAGCTTGCCCAACAGTTTAACGTCCCAGGGGTCTTCAAACCTGACTTTCCTAATCGGTTTATGAATAGGCCTGCGAAAGTCGACACGTCAGTTATTAATGGAACTTTCAAAGGATTTATGGAAATTATATTTCAGAACAATGATACATCCATGCAGAGTTATCATCTGGATGGTTATGCTTTCTTTGTTGTTGGGTACGGAATTATATTTTGCATAATTTTAGTTAGGGGTTTTCTGGTTATTTTGATAAACATACTTTAGTGGGTTGGTTGTCTGAAAGTTTGATGGTTTTCATGTGATTCAAAGGATGGACTTTGGAGAGTGGACAGAGAGTAGCAGGAACACCTATAACAAGTGGGACGGGGTGGCTCGCTGCACAACCCAGGTAGAACCACAGCCTTATACTTCGAATCCTAGAGTTTGTATGAAACATTTAGTTTGACTTACAATATTTCATTTGTTTAAAATTTTGAAATTTGGGAATGAAAATGAGCTTGAAAATTTGAATGACAACTAACAATTATTTGATTTTGCGTTGACTTACTAGAACTGACCTGTTGGACAAGAAATGATTGAAATTATTATTGGGTCCATATAGTTCAATAATAAGAACTAAAAATGCTGTTTACAATCTAGTCTGACTAAATTTACGAGTCCAATTCCTACTCACAAAGACTAGTTTACTTTTAGTAAAAGAAGAAAAATCTTCTTATTACTATTGTACAATTTTTCTTGCTACTGCTTCCTTTCATTTGGGCGTTAAGAGTTTCTTTGCCCAAAAAGGTTATCTTACGTATTGAAATATTTGATAATCACCAGGTGTTTCCTGGTGCTTGGACTGCTATATTAGTATCTCTGGATAATGCTGGGATGTGGAACCTTCGAACACAGAATCTTGACTCGTGGTACCTTGGTCAAGAAACTTATGTGAGTGTTGTGAATCCAGAGCATGACAGTGACGAGGTGCAGTTACCCGAGAATACGATATACTGTGGCCAACTGTCATCCTTGCAGAAGTAAGTGATGAAAAATGTTTGGTTTATTTTCTTCTTTTTTGAGCACTCAATGTGGTAATGATACTGGATTTTCCGGTGATCCATACATAAAGAATTGTTTTTATTGATTTAGTAATGATAGGATAAAGAAACTAGTAATTCAAGGTTTGAAAGATATGACTACAAATAAAATGGTGCCATAAAAATATATTAATTATTAACCTTGAGGGTATGTTTGAATAGTGCTTATTAGTTGGTCCTGTTTTGTATGAGTGTATCTACACCGATACTTACAAGTGGATCTTGGGAGAAAAACTTGTAACCCCTCAATATTGAAAGATTCAAACACGGTTCTTGGATATATTTGTGGGTCTTATGTGGGTATTTCTATTTTTAGTCCCTAAATTTAATAGTTTGTTCCTTTTCAGCCCCAAATTTTTCTTTTTGTCCTTATAATCAATCGAAGCCCATTAAGAAACAATAAATTTATTTAATTGTTAGCTTCTGATTCAGTATCTTCTGGGAGAACTCGTTATACTCTACTTAGCCATTAACACGTAGTTTTCACTGTTGCAGGCAACAGGCTCAACGAGTCAACTTCTCCGGGGCACAATCACTTGACAAGATGATCAAGATTGTTCTCATTACTATTCTAGTAGTTTTATCTTTACTTGGATAAAAGCAGATATTACTTGAGAGCATTGAACTAGACTTTCGATCAACTTTGATCTGAGGGAGGCACACAAAGCTATTCAGCAGCTCGGTCCCACGGTGGTATGAAAAAGTTATACATATTTTTGTGTGCCTCGGTGCATGTATATTGTACGATATTCATTTTGTTTGTATTTCGACTCAGTGGTTAGTATGCAAGAACTGGTATAGGACATGAAGAGTTGGTAGAGTTTGATTTGATTGAAAGAGCAATGATTGGCATTTTGTACGCAGCATTCGGTTGAAAGTTTCACGATGTGTACTTCATGTGATTGATCAAAAGGAGTACAAAAAGTTGTTATTCCTTTTGTGAAGGTTCATTCCTTTTGCATTTTTTTTGCTTGTTATGATCTGGTATGATGAAATATAATTTGAATTCAGACAGTATAAATTCTTCTGTTATAATCTATTTGATAAGGCATGTTACTTGGATTGACAGAAGCACAAAAACTGATTATTATTTTTTTTTTCCCCTGCGATTTCTGTCGAATTCGACTAAGTAGATTCGGGTGGAGTACAAGAGATTCAGAGTAGACATGTTTTATGATCAGTGATCATTGAAATTTTAACTACATTTTTTTTCAACTCTTGTCAAACCCATTGTGATGGTGCTTTGATGAGAACAAAATTACTCCATAAAACCATCAAACTGGTTTCCATATATAAAATACGGTACATCAGAAATGAAACAAGAGAAGGAAGGAAGAAAAATAACATTTAACACTCTAAACACATTACTTAACATGGCACAAATGTCAGAATTCTAGGTTTTCTCAGTCACTCTGTAAGAATCACCACCAAGTCCAGATTTTTTACACAACTTTTTGAAACTCAATTTCCAAAATCGCGCTGTTTCTTGTTCGCCTTCTCGACTTGAACAGTCTCGATCAAGCGTCTCAACTCACCAGCTGGTATAGTGAATACTTCAGAGTACTTGGCTCCACCTCCATTCTACCAGCCTTCAGGAACAAAAATATTGTCAAAAACCATAAGATAAAAAGGTTTAAGAAAACAATCGGAACACTTGGGTTTCTCTAAGGGCCATACTCGAAGGAGAAATCACACAATCAAGATTTCTGTTTTTCAGAAAATACCTCAACTTTGAGAACATTCAGTACAGCGCCGTTGAATGTGGCGACATTTGCATCTGTAATCCAAAGCCCTAAGGAATCCAATGCCTCAATCAACCTTGAAAAACCACCTCTCTTTTGCATGCTCACAACCTTCACCAAGAACTCTTTATTCCCGAGTTGGTTCACTTCGACTCGTGCCTAATATTTTCCCAACGTGTGATTTTTTTAGCTAAGTTCATGTAAAATGGTGACGAAAGAGAAAACTGAGTTTACAATATAGAGACACGCGATGTTTTCTTTGACCTCAATTGCTGCTTTCTTCTCTGAACATTCCTTGATCGACTTTGTGGGGTTCGGTTTAGCAATACTATTTTTGCATTCATTTTCTTCCATTGCTTGGAGTTCGTCTTGATAGCCATCTATAGTCTCTTGCAACTCCTTTATGTACTCGGCTGCATCACCCAATGTCGAAACTCGATCCATCTATCACGAACAGAAAAAAGAAGAAGAATGAATGAAATTGAATAACAAAACAAGAGTCGAGACACATTTGTTTGAAATTGTGAAAAATAATTCAAAACCTTTGAAATCTTCGGTACTAATGCACGAAGGGCAAACATGCCGTCTTTGATCCTCTTCCTCCGGTTTCTCTCTGTCATGAGATTTTTCGACTTGTAAACTCCCTTTTCTCCCTTGTGCGTGATTTCCACACAATCGTTCTCTTTGCCGACTGTCATGCATTTCTTCCTTTTTAACCTGAGGTTGCTCCTTGGCGAGTCCACGTACTCGTTGGTAGCTTTTTCATGAACCATATCAGGAAGCTTGTGTGCCGGACCAACTTTGACCAATTGGTGCTCGTTCGAAAGACTCGAGCAAGTGGGCGATCCTTCAAAGCTGGAGTAGTTGCTCGGTTGGGGCAGTTGGGGTGGAAAATTAGTATAATGGAGTGGGGGGAGCCAGTTTTGTAAATAATCCTTGGGAAGACTGTTAAAAAGCTCTTCTTTGAGGTTAAAACTGAAATGTGTTTTCTGATTCGTGTTTTCTTGTTTCAGAGGAGCTCGAAAGCGGGACGAAACGTAGTCGATAATCTTTTGGTCTTTCGGGACCTGGAAACGAACAGATGAACAGAGCAGAGAGGTTTACTATGAACTACAAACAAAATTTTTGAAATCCAAGGAAAAAGAAACAGTCTTACGTGTTCGGTGCTGAAGAGCTCGATTAGGCCACAAGCTACCGGGATGAGAACTTGTGTTCCATTTGGTTCCTGTGATGGAAAAAAAGAGCAGATTTGTTTACACCCAACAATAATAAACATAGAGAGCTGAAATCATAATTTGAGAGATATCTTACATCATCTGAGGCAGAGAGATTACTGTGGACTGACCATCTTGTTTGTTTGGAAATCACAACATCTCCATGAACACTGTTTCATTATACATCATATATAATCATTACATTACATTACACTTTTTTCTTGATTATTTACCAAAACAGATGAAAAATAGTTGGATTGAGATAATGATAAGCCAATCATTGATAAATTCATTACCCTGAATACAAGGAGAAGGCAGATGGCAACCGGGCAAGCCTCTGGCAGGCCTTAGCTCTAATCGGATGCTTAATCAGCTTGTCCCTGCACTCGCCGCCCCAACGAGCCTCAAGCTCGATATCGTCCTCGGGCTCGTTTACATGGCCGCAACAGCATGCCCCCCACTCGATGAATCTGAACAAAAACCACAAAAAAAAATAGGAACAAAAAGTTCAACCAGAGCTAATCAAAATCTACAATAAACTTGATAAAAATGAGGAAAAAAGGTGTTTATGCAGGTACAATCTAATAAACAGAAGGTACCACCTTGAAGGGTCATCTCCTAGCTTCCAAATGACACAGTAGTCCCAAGGCTTGGTGTTGACGAGGGGCCTCAACAACTCCATTGCTGTCTCTAAAGCTGCCATTTTTCTATTTTTTTTT